GGTTAAGGGAGGGGGAGGGAAGTGGTTTTGGAGACAAGAAGTGAAGCTGCCTGTTTTCCAGTAAGTAATGGAGAAATTCCAGGAGCCAGGGCTAAATATACTTGGCGATCAATACAGAAATGGCTCATTGTGAATAATTTAGCTGCCTGGTGCAGTGAGAGTTTTGAAACTAAAGGCAAAAAAGAGGCCATAGAGGGAGAGAGGAAATAAAATTCTCCTCTGGTCATGTCAGATTCTTAACTTTTCCACTTAAAAGAACATGGTTATGATTATTGATTCCCCCCCCTCCTCAATATATATCAAGTGATAGCTAGGGGGTGTCATTCTATACAGTTACTTGGGTTTCTGGAAAGTAATAGCTTGTTCTGTGTCAGCAAAGTGCTTCCAGAAACTTTAAGATTGTTTCACGCCACAAAATGCATGATCTGGGAGTATTAAGTGTGAGGTTCGGCCCCATGCCGTGGCAGATAAATAGGGTTAGAGTGAACAGGTGCGTGTACAGGTGTGTGTGCGTGTACAGTGGTGTGAGACAAAGAGTTGTAGTAACTCTCTCGAAGGGGAACGGGCACGGGAGGGTTTTATTTTGGTTAGATCAGGATGGAGTCTCTTGGAATGTGTGTGAAAAGAGCAATTGTTAATAGTATCCATCTCCTCAAAGTCTGTTCTGGCCGCGAGAGCTGGTAATTGATAAAGCCTTACCATCCTGGCTTGAACAAAACAAGTGGAAAGTTGGGGGGGGTCTCAGATCATGTAAAAATGCAAGTGGGGGACAGAGAGGGGTATGGTCAGACCAAGGTGATCCCAGTGCTGCCTGCCCAGGAGGCAGCTGAATTTCTCTACTCGGATAATTTGCAGGAAGAGTTCAGTGATTTGCAAACGAGCACACGCAGTACACTTGTGTGTTTCTCTAGGCAATGGTTGCAACAGCAGTAAAATGGGCAACTACTTCGGGCTTTAAGTAAGTTTAATCATTTAATGGTTGATACTGACAGGCATCTTTGAGGGTGTACTTTTCTGCCTTACAGCACTGCACTTTGACTATGGAAGCAGAGGCTGCTGATGGATATATAACATGTAAGTAGTCATTTCATTTGATTATTCTGAGTTACTTTCCTTCTCCTGCTACCCTTTCTATGATGCAGGCACCGGAAACTTTAGCTGCCTTGTGTATGATCTTTGCATTGAGATGACACTGAATTAATAGCATTTAAGCATAAACTTTGTGTATGACTGAGAAATGCATGGGGAGGGGTGCATGGGTGACTAGCTCTAGGTTTAAATGTTTAGTGAGGATGAACGAACTTTGCAAATGAGAGAGAGTTCATCTTCAGAAATTGAAATTGCAGCCAAAAACTTTTTATGCCTTTCACTGTGCACCTCTCCTGTTTTCTGTGTCAGGGCAAAATGTCTTAGTTTAAGAGCTTTGTTTAACTGTCAGTTAACTGAGAGCTTAGGGGGGGAAGGTCTATATGTTAAAGTGCTCCTTCAGTTTTCTCCTGCCCAGCACTGATTCTCAGTGTCTGCAAATGGAAAAGTGATCCCAACTTCTCTTGAGAAAAAGCAGCTGGGTTAAGGTTTGTCACAGGCGTGTGCAGAGAAGACTGGTGTTCTTAAAAATCAGTCAGTCAAATGTTCACTTGTGGTCACTGAGAGTTCAGTTTTTACAGGCTGTGGAAGAGGCCGCTGGTAAAGGAGGGAAGGATGAAAGGAGGGAGCGAGTCGTACTTTTTAATCGTTGTGTTGCTCTGCTGAAGAAGGGGATGGAAACTCATGGGGGATTTGTTTTGTGAAAGCAGGTGACAATGAGCTTTCGCCCGAAAGGGAGCACTCCGGCATGGCCATTGACCTCACCTCCAGCACACCCAACGGGCAGCATACCTCCCCCAGTCACATGGCAAGGAGTAAGTCTCTTCTTAAACCTCTTTCTCTCTAGCAGCACGTTTGGGTTAGGCTGGTCCTCTGGGTCCTTGGCTTGCTAACCGGGTCTTAAGCGCTGCTGTGGGCGTTGCTAATAAAAGAAGAGGACAGGGTAGATTTTATTTTTTTTTCCCCTTTTTTCTTGTTCATGCTGGTGTCTCCTCTAAGCATGAATGGGATTACTAGTCTGAACTATCCTAAGGTGGCATTTGAGAGCTGGTCCTTACCTGTTCCAGGTAGGAAAACACTAGGCTTGACATGTGCTGGCTTTGTTTCATCAGGTTTTGAAATTCAAGTGGAAACTGTTGTTGTTATTAATATTACTTACTGTGCTTCCCAAAACAGCTTGAAGTAGCTTTATTTGAAAACAAACACATTTTATTTACAAAAAGGCTTTACTCTGGCAAAAGTAGAAAGTTAAAATATCTGGGTTTGATGACAGGTTGTATTTTACTATTCTGTGTAGAAACTTTAGCATCCTGTTCATTACCTTAGCTTTGCCTTCCCAAGTCCAAAAGTGGCTGGGATAAGTGGAGGTTTATGGCACTCGGTAGCTGCCCCTCTAACAAATTGAAAGGGTTTTGTTTTAGAATGTTGGGGAGAAATTGAGAAAATGTAGAGATTTGGGAGTCTACTGGGAGTGTCAAGTGCTGATAATACTTTAATAATTATTTTCATGCTAAATTTTGGAGGTGGATAAATGTAGTTCAGACACATTTCATAAAAGCAACATCCTTTCTTTTTTGTGTGTGAGTACCATAGCTTCTTTTACTGTTGGTTACAGTGTTACATCAAGATATTTGCCTTGAAGTACCTCTGTACTTGTATTAAAAAATGATGTGCTTTGTTTCCAATATACTTTCAGAGGGTTCCTCTCTATGTGATGCTAATTTTCTTTCTAGAGTGTGTACTATAGATATGTATTTATCTTTTTAAACCGAGTGTTTGTATAAAGAAAAAGAGAGCTTTTGGGGTTGCTGCTTTAAAACACAGTGTATTGCCTTCAAAGTCTTTTTTACTGAGAAAAAGATGTTACTTTCCTTTAAGAATTCTTCTTTCCTCCTGCAAATTATGAGTAAAATGCAGTTTTTATGAACCTTTAAAACTGAGGGTTATTATGAAGATCTCCCAGTTATATACATGTTGCTAGAGAATATGATTGCTAATACTCTGGACTGAACTTTATATGACAACCGATCATAATTCAGCATCTTTAGACAATTCCAATCCTGCTGCACTGGGATTCTGGTATATTTTTATTATGCTGTAAAAGTTTTACTACTCACTTTCTTCATTTTCTTTGTTTCCTTTTTATTAATGGGAAGGCTTCATTGGAAGGGGAGAAAAACCTCCCAGTTTTAAATCTTCTTTATAATATAGACTAAAAACCAGAGTCAAATTAGGGAATAAAAAGATGTAGGATGAAGTCATGCAAAAATACTTTAGCACATTCAATATTTTCGTGTTCATTGTGTTAACATTTTCAATGGTTTTTAAGCTTCATTAGTCCTTGCAACACACATGTATCTGCAGCCTTGGTGAATACCTTACCTTACTTTTTTAAATGTGTTTTTTTGGTCTTTCAGAGGTGTCTCAGCCACTTTCATCACTGCTGCTCTGTGTTAAGCATGTGCTGCTGCTGAAAAATTAGGGGCTCTGCCTGAGGTTCTTGAGCCAAGCAAAGCTCAAGCTTCTTAAATTTGTTGTCATTTATTACTCTTTGCAGGCATAAGAATGTTTGCAGAGAGGTGGTTTGTTCTGTCTTAAACATGGGAGGTATTGATTAGAGGTTGTCGGCTTTTGTGGCAGCTGTTAATGTTGGTTCACTTAAGGTTTTTGGCCAAATCTTGAATCTGGTGTGTGTAGACTAAGGCTGTGCTTTAGAGCTTTCCATCTGTTTTTTGGGTACAGGAAATGCTTTTAAAGATTCAATAACCCAGGGACCTGGAATCTCTCTCTCTCTTTTTTTTTTAAAGAAGTGATGGAGGTAGGAGAGTAAGGAGGAATGGCCATTCAAAATACTTCATATGAATTCGGTAGCTCCTGTTGGATCAATCCATCACCCTTCGTTGTAAGTGGAGGAAGTGGCCGTGTTGTATTTCAGTATGGTTTAATTTCTAGTGGAGTCACTGGAGACTGATCTACTGTTGGCGTGCTGCTGTAGTGAAGCTCAGGGCATATCATGCTGGCTGGGTAGGGTTTGCTAATGGAGGAGGTGGTACGTGGATCAGACCCCAAACATTTCATTCCTGTTTTTGTTGCCAGTCAGCCCCAGAGTGGATGGCCCTATTTAGCTGCATGCTCAGGATGTGCACCTGCAGGGCAGAGATCTAAGTTTTGACCTTTGTTCTTGCGTTCCATTGAATCGTTTTGAACCACAGCTCTTAATTTAGCCTTAATTTGTGTCTGGCTCAAACAGAGACGAAACCATAAGAAGCAAATTTCTTGGATCTGTACCGAAATGACTGAGCAGTGCTCCCCCAGCAACGGTAAAATTATGTGCTAGGTAAAGAGTTTTCTATGTTCATTAGCCCCTGGCAATCTGTGTTAGTACGAGTTCTGGCTGGGCTACTGATGTTTTCAAGTTCTGTTCCAAAAGGTTTTGGGTTAAATATTTTGGCTCGTGTTGGAGAGTTGTCTGCTGGATCCTTTAACCTCTTATCATTTTCAAGTATCTAGACGGTATGTATAGGTTATGGATAGGGCTGACACTCAGTTTTCCTTGTGAATGAGATGATCCTGAAAGATAAATCACAATAAATCGCCTGTCATAGCTAACTAATGATCTTACATATACCTTACGGTATGTATCTGCCTTTAGCACAATACTGCATGTATGTTGGCAGATGCTCTGTTCTAAAATACTTTATTGTAGTTTTATGTAAGCAAAGATTCAAAATTTGTGTAAACAGTCAAACTGAATAGGTTGATAGATCATCTCACTTTCCTCTACAGCAAAAGACAAATTAGTGCTATACCTCTGAGTACAGATGATACCTTTACATAGCCTCAAGTCTGGAAGTCCAGAATTACTTCTGATTTTCCTTAGGAAAACTAGTCCAAGGGCTGACACCCAGAGCGGGGCATCAAAGGCCTGCTCAATTAACTTCGTGTTGGTACTAAAGAGTTCCCTGCATGGCCCCAAGCCCTTCTCTAGACCCTACAGAGTTCAAGGGGGTCTGTCTTGTTGCCTTTGGTGAATGTTGAACTGGGCTGTAAGTGGTCAGGAACCTCAGAATACGAAAGGGCATGCTAATTAAAGGATGAGGGAGAATCCTTATAAAAGAGGCTTTAAAAAGAAATCATTCCCAGTTGCCTCCCCATAATACTATGCTGAGTCCTTACTATAGTTATTAGAGATTTTTTTTTTTTTCCCTGTAGCTTAAAATGGACTTAGAAGAATGTCCTGGTTAGAAACTGCAGGGGCACAGTTGTTCGGTCAGTTGATGCCCTCTTTGTATAGGATGAAGTCTACTTCTCTGAGACCACTTGCCTGGTATCATATCGAAGACAGTAACAGCAACTATTAGCATCTGACAGTCAGTGACAGAGGAAATTTCGTCTTAAATTAGAGACATTACAATGAGTGTCCTAGATAACTTTCTTATCTCGCTTTCATAGACAAAAGGAGCCCTTAAATGAAACGGAGTCAGAACAATCATAAATATCAAACCCAACATCTGATGTTTGAAACTGATTAAAATTGTGGTATGCTTTCAAGATGTGTTTATAGTAGCTTAAAGTGTTACTAAGTTATGAGAAATAATTTATTAAGAAAATAAGCATTGTCAGCTGACTCTGTAGCTGAGCATAACGAGGCAGTTGCATTTTTTCCGTTGTGGGGAGCGATCGCGCTGTCTGACAAAATAGCTATTGGGACAACAGTATTATGTGTGAGTGATTTTTGGCAGCAGTATTTAAGGAGAACCAGTGCAAGGTCTTATTATAATGTAGCCAATACTGTATTCCCTGTGGTCGGGGTAGACTATCAGTTGCACCCCCTTTTTTTTTTTTTTTTGTAACTGCAAAGCCCCAAATCTTTCTTCATTACTTCTGTTTTTCAACTCTAAGTTTTCATACAAGCCCTGTTTTGTCACACTTGTGTTGCCCCAAGCACAAAGTTTCATGAACCACAGCTGTATCAGCACCACATCTGTATGGATAAAGAAATGGAACTGTGGAGTCTTGCTTTTTGAAATGCAAACACGCAAAATTAGAGGTTGCTTCGTGCCCCAGCTACGTAGGAAACACGCCTGGCCATCGCCAGAGTCTACAGCTCGGGCACATGAGGCTGGACCTTGCACTGGCATTCTTTTGGCTCAGTATGTGTGTTTTCAGTGGGGTGAGGTGACGGATGCTGAGCCTCTGCAGGAGGCTTTTCTTTAGGGAGGGTGGTTGAAGCTGTCTGGGCTGGGCTGCAGGGGTCACAACTGAGTGAGTGCTTTGAGGCAGTCGCTCCCCTGCCCCGTGCAGTGGGGCATGAAGAATTCTGGCAGCCAAACTGCTGTGCTCTGAAGTGGGGATTCAGGTCTCCACTTCTTCCAAATATCTTGGAAAGTGTGAAACACTGCATATCGTGCTGAAAACTTGGACTGGATAACCTCAAGATGCTGAGGAATCTCCTTCTTCGGCAGCCTTTAAGGAGTAGGCTAGGCAATATCTATTGGTCTGGGTATCTTTGATCCTGCCTCAGTGCAAGCAGGTGGACTTCTGACCACCACTTGAGATGTCCTCCTGACCTTTGTGTCTGACTTTCCAAGCTTGACAGTTTGATGTTTAGAGAGCTCAGCTGTGGAATTTCACGATGGTGCCTGATACAGATGTACCTGTGGTTTTACAGGTTGAAGGGTGGTGAAGATGCACTATGCCAATGTGAGCTTAGACATATGGGATGAGCTCGATAAAGTGTGGCAGAGAGCTGGTAGAACTGAGCTACTTTGACACTCACAGAAGCAATGACTTTGCTTCAGTCTTGTAACCTCAG